ATATTATTGGATATGCTGTTTTAGTAGTTTTTTTTTGCAAAATATCAAAGATGAGGTCTTTGGCAAAGTATAGTTGTTTTCATTGGTGCCATGGGAGGTATCTGATGCTAAATTGAATGATCTTACTCCCATTTTTGACAAAGTTATGGTGCTCGTACTGATTTTGGTCCCTGGGGTGATATTATTGGATATGCTGTCAGAGTAGTTTTAATTCCAAAACATCAAAGATGGTGTTTGTAGCAAGTTACAGTCGTCTCTATTGGTGCCAATGGGGATATGTGACTCTAAATTGAATGATCTTACTTCCATTTTTGTCAAAGTTATGACCCACATAGTGATTTTGGTTCGTGGGGTGATATTATTGGATATGCTGTGAGAGTAGTTTTAATTCCAAAATATCATAGATGGTGTTTGTAGSAYGTTATACTAGTTGTCTTCATTGGTGCCAATGGGGATATGTGATGCTAAATTGAATGATCTTACTCCCATTTTTGTCAAAGTTATGACCCACATAGTGATTTTGGTTCCTGTGCAGGAGGTACTACTGATACTATCAATCCAGGTATAGTAGCAGTAACCTTCATATAATCATAATTCCTGTATTTTAGTAGTGTCAAGAGACAAGAATATAGATAGTTTCTACAACAAGTTACTCACTTCAAACACTTATTTACCTCAAACTGAGTATTGGTGGGTAGAATTACTACTAATAGTAATACTGGTATTTAGTATTTAGAGTATCCTTCTACCGATACTATCATTCCAGGTATATGAACAGTAAACTTCATAAAATGATACATTCCTGCATTTTAATGATAAGAGAAAAACATATAGATAGCTTTTACATCAGAGTACTCATTTCACAGACTTGTTAGTATGTTAGGAACAGTGGGGGTGAGCACTTGTAAAAATGTTACTAACGTTTGAGTTTTACGTTACAAACGGTCAGGATAAACGTTCGTAAAAACGTTACTAACGTTTGTGTTACGAACGCTAGTCTAACGCGAACGCTTGACCCAAACGTTACGTTCCTAACGGTAGCGTTCCTAACGTTACGAACGTAACGTAGAACGTTACGTTACACAACACTACAATTTCATACACCACACTTGAAATACTTACTGGGTATAAAAAGATGGCTTGCGCGCTGGGGGCACGTGCCGATCCGAAAAAGGACAGACGCTACGTACGTACGATTACGGTACTGTATTCCAGTACCGTGTGTTTCCTGTATAGTACAGTAAAGTACGTACGGGACTTCACATACAGTACTGTACAGTTTTGCTAAAGGTTAAGCTAGTAGAGCTAACTAGAGCTACTACAGCTACAGCTAGAG